TTGGCGTCCCAAAAAGATCTCTTCTTTGCGATTATCCTTCCCTAAGCGGAAAATCATTCTCCTGGAAATATTGCATTTTATGGATTCGCTTATTTTCTGCTTGAACTGGTTGCTGCCCGAAGAACCTAGACATCATTGCTATAGTAAATATCAAGACAAGACGATATAAAATGGACAAAGGGTTATAATTATATATGTGTTTGGAAGCAATAATAATGTTAAATTGGAAAAGTTTGGAGAAAGTGGAGCAAAAACTTTTCGTTTTGTAATGAATTTTTTACTTCGCTTGGAGACAGTTTATATAAGTAAGACAATCAAATTTAATAACTTTTTTCATTAATAGACGATACTTTTGTGAAAGTTTAAGGTATACTAATTTGATTTATTCTATATACTATATAGTATATATATGTAGCATTCTTCTTATATTTGATACTTCGTTACAGTGTCTCCCCGAGGATTACAAGGGTAGCTATGTACTCGAGCTCGTAAGTTTTCAGCTTCCGTTAAAACCCACTTCCGGTATAAGCTCACGAAACGAGACGGTATTCCTCGCTCTAACGAGTTTTCCACGTCCGTGAATAGTTATTCGTTACCAAAGGATTTCTCGGTTTTGCCATGACTCCGCGTAGGATTTTTGCCTTTCGGGTTCTTTCGAAGGTGGCTCTTGTAAAAGTGGAAACGAGATCGATCCTGATGCAAGACCACCAGGGTATTAATATCGGCACGCGGTTTAACGCTCGTGAATGTATCTAGATATTTGATCAATGCGTTGTTACATTCTCAGAAATCTCTGTCGTATTTGATATTCTTACAAATGCATGCTTCCGTTAATAGGTACAATTTTAATGGGGTTCAACAAATATCTGAAATGCGTCTCTGAGGAAATATTCATATAAATTTCTATTAATAAGGTAGCTGCATAAAGTTGGCAGCGCAGTTGTTAATACTGTTATATTTTTTGGCGTTTCTGTTACAAGTTTCCTATATAAATAGTTATCAACGTAAAGTTATAGACAGAAAAGAATGTTTTTTTTTTTTTTAACATAATTAGTATTTTCTCATATTATGAAGATGCCTCATATTATATTTAAATTAATATTTTAAATTGAAATATTCACAGGATGCCCATGACACATTATTTATATTACATTTACTAATTATATATTGCGTAGTCATATGATTATTTCAAGAATTTCTAACTAATTTTGGATATTTTAGTTTTTAAAGACAAGAATTTCTCTATTCTTGAATAAATTGAAAACGTTTTAGTTTGGCCAATGACTTTTTTTTGTTTTTATATGAAAATTTTGTAATTGTGCTTCACGCGCTATGTTCGTTCTTATTGCACGAATAAAAGCTCCCACAGGAATCGATGATCGCGGAATAAAAAGCGGGGGTGGTTTGCACGTGGTGCGAACCTTGCTAAATTATGCAAGCGTTAAAAGAACTTTCAGGAACTAACAAGTCGTATTGTAGCGTGGAAAACAGCGTGTATAAGACGACGTTGAAGCGAAAGGCAATTTTGGATTCAAACACTGCGAAAAAGAGCTGGAAAGGCATCCTCAAAGCGGCGGAAGGGAATGAGGATTATTGGTGATTCTCATGCTCGTCTGGGCGGAGAGTTAAATAGTTCGAAGTCGCGCATAGCCGAGACATCGAATTGCGAGCGTTGCTAAATGGTGTGGTCGAAGGTCTAGGACACTCTATATAATCAACTTTGTGACAGTTTAATGATCGATGCATGCATACTCGCCCGAATAATTAGTCACTTATGCATGTAATGTGAACATATTAACAGTATTAATAAGGATAGATAATAGAAATAATGACTCGTAATAAACGTGCACATAGAAATAATTGTAACGATATCGATATTTATTGTTATTTTCTATAAAACAGAATATAAATAGATTTAATAAATTTTGATTATAACAAAATTATTTTTTTTTTAGAACTTTTATATTAAACATTGATAATTTATTTTAGCTTATATTTTTTTTATTAGAGACATTTTCAAATTTGTTTACTTATGAATGTTATTATTTTACTTATCTTTTATTCTTATCAAGTTGTTGATGGTTAATTTTTTCTGCCAGGGTGCATAAAAATTTATAAGAAGCAAAAATATCAGAATCGGAATATAGCATTACGAAAAAAGAAGATGAAAAAATAGAATCAGCAGAAGAGGGTGTGTCCACTGACATTCAACTAAAGATTAAACGATCTAAAAGATTAGTATGGAAAATTGTCGCCACCGAATTGGCAAAAATTGAATCTTTAGAAAATGAATTTATATTCACGTATTCACGATTTTATGCCGATAATATATCTATATTTTGTAAATAAAAAAATGATATATTTATATCGTTGCTGTCACATTATGACAATGAAATGCCGATAATTTAAATACGTGTGAAAACGTGCGGAAGATTGATCGAGTTCGCAGTTTCCGACTATATAAGTTTTAGCACACACGTATATGCTATTCCATACAACGGCAATAAGCTCTTTGTGATCTTTCTGACTACTATATGAGTTACCAGCAAACGGAATTTTGTTGTTGTCACTCTGCTCTATGCACGCAGTTGGTCCAAATCCGTCCGACCGAGCAACGAGCTGTTCTACTGGCACACACTCTCTGTTCTATTCTGCGTTCGACAGAAAAAAAACAACGCAAAAGAGTGCGAGAGAGGACGAATAAACAAAGGGAAATACAATCGTGAAGCTTGATTCACTCTGTCACGAATGCGTACGCTCGGTATTCCTTTTTCATTAACTTCGCCAATTTACCTTGGCTCCTTCTGTTTTGCTTTGCTCGTTTTCCAGCAAGTACAATCGCAGTTCCATCGAATTTTCGACGGTTTCAGTGAACTTTACATTTTCGAATGTTTCAAACGAGATATCTCATTGATATAGATAATTCATGTCTGATGTCGAAGAGCATAACGAATATAATGAACTAAATTAGGTGCATATGTATGTGTATGTATATGTACACACACACTCACGCCTAATATATATATACACTTAATTATACATATATATTCCTTCTCATCGATTAGTAGCTTATCTATGTTTTTTGCCAATTACTCTCAAAATTAGATGAACGTACTTTTCCATACTTAAGGAAATAAGGAATGATTTAACTGGATTCGTAGTTACTCTTCAAGTATAATCGCTGATTTTTCCTGCTGCATTGAAAGAAAATTTCGAATTATCGATCAGAATAGCCATTAAGGACTTTTTCCTCGGCCGATCGTCGGAAGACACCGAGTAACCCTTTCTTCCAAGCGGTCCAGCCTCGTCTCCATTCACAAGCTCGCGTAATGGCAACGTAACACCGTTATCAACGGCGAGGAGGGAGTAGAGAAAGGTGGAGGGTGTCTGCGAAGAGTGGTATGCTAGTGTGGAGGGTTCGGTATTTCTCCCTCTAACCTCCACCTGTACCACCCGGCACGACCAAGCGACCCTTGGTGCTCACGCCTCCCACCCAATTGGGGATTCGATCGACGTTGAGAACTTCCAGCCGTGACCACACAACCCCGTGATGGCGCCTCTGTCGGGACGCCCCGCACCCACCGCGACAACCCGCATCAGAT